ATGAGATAGATACATATTTTGCCTTGAAAAGAGAAAAAGTGAAGATGTCGAGTGCCAAAAGTGCAAGCAACGCGAACAAATCTATAAGGTCATCTTCGCTTTCTCTCTTTTCAAGGCAAAATATGTATCTACCTATCTCATTTTAAGTGCAAAAATGTTTGAGGATTTCATTCAACGTAAACAGACCTATGGCCGGTATTCATAGTCGAATCTTATAGCGTTTTCGGCCCGATCGGGTTTGCACCAACCTGGGTTGGATTAATCTTTCCTATTGGTTGACGTCATCCGCTCTACCAATAGGAGAGCACAAAACGCCGTTAATCTAACCCAGGTTGGTGCAAACCTGGCCGGGCCGAAAACGCTATATGGGGTTTGTTCGCGTCGCGTGCTCCAACATGCTCCTACCATAGCTCCTATTCACTTCAACGACCATGTTGGAATAAGTAGGAACTATGGTAGGAGCATGTTGGAGCATGCGACGCGAACAAACCCATGATTCCGCAGTCTGCATTCTACTGCACTCTGCAATCCGCATTCTTCGAATATCTCGTACTGGGCACAATTGAACGATGATCAAGCAGTACTAGCAGAGAGGAACCTGAGAGAGGCAATGCCGGCCTAAAACCTGTAACCGCGAAATACTGCCGCGCACTATTGCCCTCTGAAAAGGTGGATGTAAACTAAATAGCTCTGAGGGTAACACGTCCACTTTTCTGAGGGTAATACATCTACTTTTCAACTCGAGATGATAAATTGATACTTGTTTCATATAATCGTGCTACATTCACAAATTGTGGATCAGAAATATTAATCTCTGCAATCTTACATGCGCGTGACGTTTATTTCGCTACAACAAGATATTAATTACTAAAAATTATCAAATATTGGTCTTGAATAATTTTTTACTCAAATACTGTTAATTTTATAGAAAAACTGCAAGAGACAAAAATTATTTATTTTCTTCTCATAAAGTTTTAAGAATTTTTCAGAATTTTTTATCAACTTTTTAGTACTGCATTTTCTTATTTTTATTAACATGAGAAAATACAGTATTAAAAAATTCTGAAAAAATTCTGAAAAAATTCTCAGAACTTTATGAGAAGAAAATAAATA